CATCTGATCTGAGACCACGACAGACCATCGGATCTGAGAGACCACGACAGACCATCTGATCTGAGACCACAACAGACCATCTGATCTGAGACCACGACAGACCATCTGATCTGAGACCACGACAGACCATCTGATCTGAGACCCAACTAGACCATCTGATCTGGTGACCAAACGACTGATGAGGCAACAGAGAGAACATTTGTCTAGACCAACGAGAGGACCATCTAATCTAGACCACACAGATCCATCTGATTGCAGGACAGAGAGACCTCGATCTGGTCCACGATGACCATCTCTCTGACCACGACAGACCATTGATCTAGACCATGACAGACCATCTGATCTGAGATACGACAACCATCAGTTGAGAACGACAACATCTGATCTGAGATCTACAGACATCTGATCTAGACACGACAGACTAACTGATCTAGACCCGAGAGACATCTATCAGACACGAGAGTCACTTAGGATCATGAGACCAGAGACTATCTTGTGATCTGAGACACGAAGGCATTGATCTGAGACCACGAGAGCCATCTAGTGATTGAGACACGAGATGACTATCTATGATCTGAGCAAGGACATTTTAGTGATCTGAGCCCAGAGTCCATCTTAGTATTGAGACCACGAGAGATATCTTAGTCACTGAGACACGAGAGACCATCTGATCTGAGCCACGATGAGTTCCATCTTAGTGATTGAGACAGGGAGACCATTCTTAGTGATCTGAACCACGAGAGACCATCTTAGTGTCTAGACCACGAGAGACCATCCTAGGATCTTGCCACGAGAGTCCATCTTAGTGATCTGAGACCACAAGAACTACTAGTGATGAACATGAGAGACATCTATCTGAGACCACGAGAGAATCTTGTGATCGAACACGAGAGACATTTAGATCTGAGACCACGAAGCCATCTTATGATGAGACCACGAGAGACTATCTTGATCTGAGACCATGAAGACCATCTGATCTGAGACCACGAGAGTCCATCTATGATCTGAGACCACAAGAGACCATCTTATGATCTGAGACCACGAAGACCATCTAGTGATCTGAGACCACAGAGACCATCTTAGATCTGAGACCACGAGAGACCATCTGTTATCTGAGACCACGAGAGCCATCTAGTATTGAGACCACGAAGACCATCTAGGATCTGAGACCACGAGAGACCATCTAGTGATCTGAGACCACGAGAGACCATTTTAGATCTGAGAACCACGAGAGTCCATCTTGGATCTGAGACCACGAAGACCATCTGTGATCTGAGACCACGAGAGTCCATCTTAGTGATCTGAGACCACGAAGACATCTAGTGATCTGAGACCATGAGAGACCATCTGATCTCAAACCACGAGATCCATCTTAGTATCTGAGACCACGAGAGACCATCTTAGTGATCTGAGACCACGAGAGACCATCTTAGTGATCTGAGACCACGAGAGACCATCTTAGTGATCTGAGACCACGAGAGACCATCTTAGTTATCTGAGACCACGAGAGTCCATCTTAGTGGTCTGAGACCACGAGAGACCATCTTAGTGATCTGAGGCCACGAGAGACCATCTTAGTGATCTGAGACCATGAGAGACCATCTGATCTGAGAGCACGAGAGACCATCTGATCTGAGACCACGAGAGACCATCTGATCTGAGACCACGACAGACATTCTGATCTGAGACCATGACAGACCATCTGATCTGAGAGACGACAGACCATCAGATCTGAGATACGACAGACCATCTGATCTGAGACAACGACAGACCATCTGATCTGAGACCACGACAGACTATCTGATCTGAGACCACGAGAGACCAATTGATCTGAGACCACGAGAGTCCATCTTAGTGATCTGAGACCACGAGAGACATCTTATGATCTGAGACCACGAGAGACCATCTGATCTGAGACCACGAGAGTCCATCTTAGTGTCTGAGACCACGAAGACCATCTTAGTGATCTGAGACCACGACGAGACCATCTGATCTGAGAACGAGAGACCATCTTATGATCTGAGGCACGAGGACCATCTATGATCTGAGACACGACGAGACCATCTGATCTGAGACCACGAGAGTCCATCTAGTGATCTGAGACCACGAGAGACCATCTAGATCTGAGACCACGAGAGACTATCTTAGTGATCTGAGACCACGAGAGACTATCTTAGTATCTGAGACCACGAGAGACCATCTGATCTGAGACCAGAGAGTCCATCTTAGTGATCTGAGACCACGAGAGACCATCTTAGTGATCTGAGACCACGAGAGACCATCTTAGTGATCTGAGACCACGAGAGACCATCTTAGTGATCTGAGGACCACGAGAGTCCATCTTAGTGATCTGAGACCACGAGAGACATCTAGTGATCTGAGACCATGAGAGCCATCTTAGTCTGAGACCACGAGAGACTATCTTAGTGATCTGAGACCACGAGAGACTATTTTAGTGATCTGAGACCACGAGAGTCCATCTTAGTGATCTGAGACCACGAGAGACTATCTTAGTCATCTGAGACCACGAGAGACCATCTGATCTGAGACCACGAGAGTCCATCTTAGTGATCTGAGACCACGAGAGACCATCTTAGTGATCTGAGACCACGAGAGACCATCTTAGTGATCTGAGACCACGAGAGACCATCTTAGTGATCTGAGACCACGAGAGTCCATCTTAGTGATCTGAGACCACGAGAGACTATCTTAGTGATCTGAGACCATGAGAGACCATCTGATCTGAGACCACGAGAGTCCATCTTAGTGATCTGAGACCACGAGAGACCATCTTAGTGATCTGAGACCACGAGAGACCATCTTAGTGATCTGAGACCACGAGAGACCATCTTAGTGATCTGAGACCACGAGAGACCATCTTAGTTATCTGAGACCACGAGAGTCCATCTTAGTTATCTGAGACCACGAGAGACCATCTTAGTGATCTGAGACCACGAGAGACCATCTTAGTGATCTTAGACCACGAGAGACCATCTTAGTGATCTGAGACCACGAGAGTCCATCTTAGTGATCTGAGACCACGAGAGACCATCTTAGTGATCTGAGACCACGAGAGTCCATCTTAGTGATCTGAGACATGAGAGACTATCTTAGTGATCTGAGACCAGAGAGACCATCTGATCTGAGACCACGAGAGTCCATCTTTAGTGATCTGAGACCACGAGGAGACCATCTTAGTGATCTGAGACCACGAGAGACCATCTTAGTGATCTGAGACCACGAGAGACCATCTTAGTGATCTGAGACCACGAGAGACCATCTTAGTTATCTGAGACCACGTAGAGTCCATCTAGTGGTCTTGAGACCACGAGAGACTATCTTAGTGATCTGGACCAGGAGACCATCTACAGACTATCTGATCTGAGACCACGAGAGACCATTTGATCTGAGACCACGAGAGTCCATCTTAGTGATCTGAGACCACGAGAGACTATCTTAGTGATCTGAGACCACGAGAGACCATCTGATCTGAGACCACGAGAGTCCATCTTAGTGATCTGAGACCACGAGAGACCATCTTAGTGATCTGAGACCACGAGAGACCATCTTAGTGATCTGAGACCACGAGAGACCATCTTAGTGATCTGAGGCCACGAGAGACCATCTTAGTGATCTGAGACCACGAGAGACCATCTGATCTGAGACCACGAGAGTACCATCTAGTATCTGAGACCACGAGAGACCATCTTAGTGATCTGAGACCACGAGAGACCATCTTAGTGATCTGAGACCACGAGAGACCATCTTAGTGATCTGAGACCACGAGAGTCCATCTTAGTGATCTGAGACCACGAGAGACTATCTTAGTGATCTGAGACCATGAGAGACCATCTGATCTGAGACCACGAGAGTCCATCTTAGTGATCTGAGACCACGAGAGACCATCTTAGTGATCTGAGACCACGAGAGACCATCTTAGTGATCTGAGACCAGAGAGACCATCTTAGTGATCTGAGACCACGAGAGACCATCTTAGTTATCTGAGACCACGAGAGTCCATCTTAGTGGTCTGAGACCACGAGAGACTATCTTAGTGATCTGAGACCACGAGAGACCATCTGATCTGAGACCACGAGAGTCCATCTTAGTGATCTGAGACCACGAGAGACCATCTTAGTGATCTGAGACCACGAGAGCCATCTTAGTGATCTGAGATCACGAGAGACTATCTTAGTGATCTGAGACCACGAGATACCATCTTGTGATCTGAGACCACGAGAGACCATCTTAGTGATCTGAGACCACGAGCGTCCATCTTAGTTATCTGAGACCACAAGAGTCCATCTTAGTGGTCTGAGACCACGAGAGACTATCTTAGTGATCTGAGACCACGAGAGACCATCTGATCTGAGACCATCTTAGTGATCTGAGACCACGAGAGACCATCTTAGTGATCTGAGACCACGAGAGACCATCTTAGTGATCTGAGATCACGAGAGACCATCTTAGTGATCTGAGACCACGAGATACCATCTTAGTGATCTGAGACCACGAGAGACCATCTTAGTGATCTGAAACCACGAGTGTCCATCTTAGTGATCTGAGACCACGTGTCACTTGTTAACCTATGTCGACATTCCTGCCTTATCCCCCATCCCAAGATGCATTGCCTGTTTTTACATACAGGCAGGCGAGAACTGTAGCCCAGATGACAGGCTGACTTTAAAAGGCTTTTATTCTCCCCGCTATTCCTCTCACAAGGCCTTCCAATTACCCAATGGTCTTTGTGCTACAGTGTGGTAGGATGCCAAGGAGGAGAAGGGGATGGGGGGCTGCTGTTTAGGTGGACTCAGAGAGAGATAGCTTCAAAGATATCAGAGCCTCAACATGCTCACCAACACTCTGCATGTCAGTGACACCTCTCACTAAGTGCCATTCCCCAACTGTGCCTCCAGTACCCTATGTCCACCCCACCACCCCCTCCCTACCCCTAATGGGGTCCGTCACACCACACTTTCTGCCTGAGCTCTGGTAGCACCATGCGGCTAATAACGGGAACGGCTGAAGTACATGAATGTGAGTGTGAGTTAATGTGTGCCAGAGATGTGGTGTTGGCAGACAGGGCTGTGATTTCGAGGGAGTGTCATACGAGCAGCCAATCTGCATGGGTGGAAATCCTATGTAAATGAAAATGCTTTGATTACTTTTGCAGAGTAGAGTTTCAGCAAAGTGGAGCACCTTTAATGCACCTATCTTGTTGGGTTAGGGGTTTGTTAAGTTAGGTGTTTGCACCAGTCCTTTTGGGTTAGGTGTTTGCACCAGTCCTTTTGGGTTATGTGTTTGCACCTGTCCTTTTGGGTTAGGTGTTTTGAAGGCGATGTCTTTGAATGTGTTAGAGAACTAGATCATAGTATCTGACCGTGCCTCTATCTTTCTGTATGTTTCTCCAGGAGTCCAGGCTATGTTCTCCCAGCAACCCCAGGACCTGGTGGTGGTGGCCGGCCAGCCCGTCACCCTGCCCTGCTCCATTCCTGGCTACCATGGTGTTGTCCTGTGGATCAAAGATGGCCTGGCTCTAGGCGTTGGCAGAGACCTATCAGGTAAGGAAAGATATTGATCAAACCATAGGTCACTCTTAATCTCCTTCTGTCACGTGTCTGTTTCTGATCCCTTTTCCAATCTGTTACAAGCCAGTACTATTACTTACACGCTGTCATATATCTGTCAATGTTGGATTTCTCCCTTCACTGCTTTTCATCTTTTGAAAGTTTATGTCTTCTTTCTCATCGCCATAGAAATGTTACTTTGCAGGTAGACAAACATACAGTATAATCCTATAACAATGCAGCACTGTGCGTTAAATGTGGTCTTAACTTCATTGTAACCACAGCAAACAACCATTTTCATATTTAGGCTAACATTGAAGTGTTTTACCATTTTCTGTTCAGGGCAACCAGGACTACAAGTAGAACATGAAGGAACATTTGACATAAACATTCATGAGTTTTATTGACAAATGTCAATAAACAAATAAGGTGTGCCAAGCAAAACCCTGATAAAACATTTATTAATAATAATGGTGTAAGTACAGAAATTGTTTGCTCAGTGGGAAATTAATATCCAACTAGTAGAAAGAGACAACTGTGTGGAGTTTGAAGGTGACAGCAGCTATGTGAGCTTACAGTATTATAGACAATATGTGCTGGGATTTCCTATGATCTCTATGTAGAAAAACCCCTCTATGTAGAAGAACCCCTGAGCGTCATAGAGAAAAACAGATTACATGTACGTGTTCGTGAGAGTCTCAGCATAATAGTTTGTAGCTCAAACCATTCGAACTCTACAGACGTTTTTGTGAGAAGAACCGCTCCCGTACCCCTTTGGGATCCGCCCTTGTCTCACAAACACCAGTCTAACCCCTGTTAATCACACATACTAATGGTTGGTATCAGTGGATGCAGAAGACATCTGTAGCTCTAACACAGTTTAAAAGGGGTCCAAAACGCAGTGACAGTGGGATTCAAGATTTAATTACCACACTACATGTTCCACCCCAAATATCTAGTGTCCAATAATATATACAGTGAAATACCCCAGACAGTTGTATTCACTTTAGCACTACCACAAAAATGTACCCAAGGCCTCATCAGTATCTAATAGAAAGATAAACCTAATTAATTAACAGTTTGTGGTGGGCAAAGAAGCCCCAAAATCAACACTGAATGTGTATCAATGTAGCCAGGGGTCACATTTCAAGTACTTTTAGCTAGTAAATGGGCTTTTGAAGAGTAACTCACAATCCAAATTACATTGTGCCTCTTGTATTATTACCTTAATTGTTTAATTTGGAGTACCACTTACTGCTGCACTGTCATTTTAGTAGCCTGCAGTTTCTCCACTTGACGCTTGCGCCTTATCCATATTCATGAGACGCGATGACTATCTATTCTTCCAAATAAATATTTACAACCTTTTAACTTCCGACCTCTTGAGGGAGTAAATCCATATAGCTTAGAAAATCTGCATTATTTATTAAAATATATTTTATCCCCCCGATTGTCTTTAGAAATGGGATCCTTGGGATTCACGACATTCTACGGCCTTATACAGGGAGTAAGGGAGATGAGTCTGAAAATAGCCAAGTTCCTTTCACACCTCCATCACTAGAGATCCTCCATCACTGAGGGATCTCTAGCCTGTCTCTCAGAGTAGTTACCATTCAAGTCATGGCAAAATAATCATCTGGGGCCCTTTAAAAGCGGGGCCTCTTATGATCCGTGCGATTAAATATGTATTCCACTGGAGATCTGGTGTCTCCTACCCTCTTACCTTCAGTGACTGCTCTAGTGTGCCTTTCTTGTCACCGATAGAGCTCCTTAATTAAACCTCAGTGGACGATGCTGTCCCAATAAATCCGTCCCATTCACCGGTCTGGCCCTTATCAGGCCCCCGGGAGGCTGGGGAAGGCAGTAAACAATGACCCAACAGTTTTGAAGTGGTCTGGAAGAGAGGGAGTAGAAGGAGAAGGACTTACGATGACGAGGAGAGAGAGAGAGAGATGGTGAGAGAGAGAGAGAGGGTGAGAGAGAGAGGGTGAGAGAGAGAGAGAGAGAGAGAGAGAGAGAGAGGGTGAGAGAGAGAGAGAGAGGGTGAGAGAAAGAGAGGGTGAGAGAGAGAGAGAGAGAGAGAGAGAGAGAGAGAGAGAGAGAGAGAGAGGGTGAGAGCGACTCTTAACGGCACATCAGCAGCAGTTTAACGGTCATGGGCGAGAGGCCGTGGACGGAGGCTGTGGACTGATCATGTCTCCACCACTGTGCACCCACACTCCACTCTGTATGCTGATCAATGGCCGGGCCAGGACACTCAGAGATGGGCAGAATCTGAATGCCACTCTTCATTCAGCCTGTGTCGATGAGATACATCGAATTGAAGAAGGTTGTCATGGACGAAAGAGATCTTTATTAAAAAGCATGGACAGGGTCTTAGAGCAGTGTATTAAGATGAATGTCACTTTTTGAAATAAAGTGTACCACAGCTGCTCTTTTTATCGTCTCTGCCTATGTCAACAAGCAATACAGTCAGCCATAAAGAATGATGGCATATACACGGCTATATACACAAGGAAAGCAGCTGTATACATAAAAGTGTGAGGCGTCTAATATTGTGCAGCGCATTTCAATATAGGAACCACTCTGCTATTCATTGAAGGAGCTGCGTTTGCAATAGCTCGCTCCGCCTGGGCCTGTGTCAATTCAGAGGAACAGTGATTAAAATGAGAAAAATCTTTCACTATTCAGTCTGATAAATCAGAGGACAAAAGAGGATGATTCCTATCACTCCCTGAATTTCTGCTCCTTCTCTTTGTATAGCGCCTTCTATTCTAATTAAAGAGAGAGATGTACCGGCGCAAAGCTGCACCAAATGAATGGCATGAATATGCATGAATGGCATGAATATATCTCAAAGCAGTCCATGGAGAGTGCCCACTGGTGTATGCTTTTTTGGAGGGCACAAATGGAATGATTGAAAACCTAAGTGTTAGAATGTTCCAGATAGTGTTCTTAACATTCTAGACAGAGGTGAAGAGTATTTGGAAGCTATCTGACACGTGTGCTCCTCTGGCTTGTCCCCGACAGCAAATTAATTGGTCATCCATTTCCCAACCCCAACTACCCTATTTCAATCCCTGGAGGTGTCAGTGTGAGACGTGTCCTTCCTGAATAGCGTAAATCACTATGCCCCTGCCTCTATTCATCGTCCCTTCCCCTGCCATTGATCCACTACAAAGACAAATCCATTTCTGTCCTGATGGATTCATTACCCTTAATGGGGCTATTTTACATTGTTTGCTTTAGTTAACACACGTTGTCTTTGAAATTCATTGAGATCAACGTGAGTTATATTTATACAACAGTGACATCCCTGAAATTTCCTCCCAAACAATGAAGCAGGGTTTTTGCATGCTCTACACTCTACATAAGAATGCCATTGTGTGTGTGATCTGTTTGACATAAACGTAACCCAGTTATGTCACAGGACAAAGTCGTCACTAAATCCACCAATGTCTATTTAAAAGGCATTTAGATGCCATTAAACTGGATATACGCTAAGGTATGTTTTTCATTTACTCTCAGCAAGCTTTTTTGTATTACAACAGCACATCTTATTATGTTCAATCTGCTAGAGGGCAAGAGGAGTGAATTCACTGGGTCATTTGTTTATGTACATGAACAGTGGGATTCTGTTGTACAGTACAACACAATATGCCTACAGTACATAAACTATATATACAAAAGTATGTGGACATCCCTTCAAATTAATGTATTTGGCTATTTCAGCCACAGCCATTGCTGACAGGTGTATAAAATCGAGCACAAAGCCATGCAATCTCTATTGACAAACATTGGCAGTAGATTGGCCTTACTGAAGAGCTCAGTGACTTTCAACGTGGCACCGTTCCAGCAAGTCAGTTCGTAAAATTTCTGCCCTGCTAGAGCTGCCCCGGTCGACTGTAAGTGCTGTTATTGTGAAGTGGAATCTTCTAGGATCAACAACGGCTCAACAGCAAAGTGGTAGGCCACACAAGCTCACAGAACGGGTCCGCCGAGTGCTGAAAATAATCTGTCCTCGGTTGCAACACTCACTACCGAGGTCCAAACTGCCTCTGGAAGCAATGTCAGCACAATAACTGTTCCTCGGGAGCTTCATGAAATGGGTTTCCATGGCTGAGCAGCCGCACACAAGCCTAAGATCACCATGCGCAATGCCAAGAGGCTGGAGTGGTGCAAAGCTCGCAGCCATTGGACTCTGGTGTAGTGGAAACGTGTTCTCTAGGGTGATAAATCATGCTTCACCATCTGGCAGTCTGACAGATGAATCTGGGTTTACACTACCTGCCCCAATGCATATTGCCAACTGTAAAGTTTGGTGGAGGAGGAATAATGGTCCGGGGCTGTTTCCATGGTTCGGGATAGGCCCCTTAGTTCCAATGAAGAGAAATATTAACGGTACAGCATACAATGACATTCTAGACGATTCAGTGCTTCCAACTTTGTGGCAACAGTTTGGGGAAGGCCCTTTCTTGTTTCAGCATGACAATCCCCCTGTGCACAAAGCAAGGGCCATACAGAAATGGTTTATCGAGATTGGTGTGGAAGAACTTGACTGGCCTGCACAGAGCCCTGACCTCAACCCCATGGAGCACCTTTGGGATTAATTGGAATGCCGACTGCAAGCCAGACTTAATCACCAAACATCAGTGCCCGACCTCACTAATGCTCTTGTGGCTGAATGGAAGCAAGTTCCCACAGCAATGTTCCAACATCTTGTGGAAAGCCTTCCCAGAAGAGTGGAGGCTGTTATAGCAGCAAGAGGGGACCAACTCCATATTAATGATTTTAGAATGATATGTTTGACGAGCAGGTGTCCACATACTTTTGGTCATGTAGTGTATTTAGTACAGTAAGCTCCTCCACTGGATATATGGCGGATGGGGTCACTTCAAGGTCATACCATTTACTTGTTGTGGAGAAATAAAATCTAATTTCTCCTGAGCTTACACAGGGTCACACCAGTGCAATGTGCAGGTTCTCGTAATTGAACACAACATGGAAGGATCTTCATTCAAAGCATATATTCCAGGAATGGAGTCTCATTCAACTTCAGAGAAAGACGTCTGTCAAGCTGTCCTTTATAGCAAATAAATAGTTCAACGAAGCCATTGACTCACTGGCTGCATAATCAACAACAGCATGGAACTCAAGATCAATGGTCATTAATGTTATTAAGCGAGTGATGCCCAGTTTGATCAACACTATATTATATTAGAGTGATGTGTAACCTTTTTGACCTTCTTCTGGCCCTGTATGGAAGCTTTTGTGTCAATGTGAATAATAAGACCCATAACTGCCAGCGGTATGTGGGCAGACGAGAGCGCTCTCTATCTGAGGATCTGGCTTTCCTATAAACAGAGGAACCACTCAGAGCTCACATAGCCTACCCACTCCTCTCTGTTTGTTTGGTACCTTATTGTATTCTGGTCTTTTTATGTTTTCCTATGTTTTATGTTTATGCTATATACTCTTCCGTCCTGCATGAGCATGCTTCAGTTCGGCTGGCGCCTAGCCGAACTCGACTAACCAAATGAGTGTGCTCGCATACTCCCTTAAAATACTTTCACTTGAAAAATGCAGCAATAGTACTGTTTGTCCATTTTAAGATGCCATAGTCAGTATACACTTCCTCAAAATAGTCAGAATAAATCTAAGCAAATTCAATTTTACATCGGACTAAGATATCTCCTAGTCTATTAGTCCTAATCTATTATACTCATTTTGGGTGGCATGTGCTAAAACATACCTCTTTAAATCCCCAGTGTTTAATACTAAGTCACTGGAAAATCTTTGAAGAGAACATGACTCATTGATGGATGCAACGGAATCGATTTTTCATCCAGATATTTATTGGCAGTGATCCAACAGCGGGGTTGGCAGAGATTGAGAGTGGAATACCATCTGATTTATAAGTTCAGTGTGACTAACCGCATCATTGGATAAAATGTTTAACTGTTGGCCTGGTTATGCTTAAACTCTCCACTCTATCGGGTTCTGTCATCAGTGAATTTCAGGAGAACCTTAGGAGGAGAAAGCAATCACTGCCAAGAAACACTGAACATTTTGGAGAATTTCACAAGCAGAGATTCTTGTTTAATACACATTTCTCCAATAATTAGACAGAGGTCAGCCTTTAGAGAGCTGTTCAAGTTATTCATATTGATAGCTTGTGCAGTTTTCCATAAAGATCCACAATCAAACATATCCCTTTCTGACTTATTTTTTACCAATGGGGAAATGCACTCCTCAACACACTCTCAATGCAAATTTCAATAAGTGAAGTGTTTTAGAGCTATCCCATTGGGCACACACTGGTTGAATCAACATTGTTTCCACGTCGTTTCAATGAAATTACATTGAACCAACGTGGAACAGATGATGAATTGATGTCTGTGCCCAGTGGGATCCAACTTTACTCTGCGGTGTAAAATGGTCAGGACTCCTGGACATACCTCTTCCTGCATTATTAAATTCCAAATCTCACACCACTGTGCTGCTGAAACACATCTCAATCTCTAGCCATGCCTCTTCACCATTGCAATAAAATATACTCACTCTCCAGAATACAGAAACCTCTTCAACCCCTTTCATTAATCTCATATGCCAATGTTTTCATCCAATGTTAAAATGTCTATTTCAACATGTAGTGTTTTTTTACCCTTGTAATAAGAAAATCTGGTTTCACATTGGTGACACTAATAATTCTAAGACAGGTATACTGTATTAAAGTGACCTGCTACCCAATCTCATCTCATTTGAAAAATAATAGCCCATCTCAAATGAGCATTAGCGGTGCGTGGGTAAAATCACTGGGTAAACCAAGACAGAAAAAATAAGCCATATTACAACTATGTGTTGTGATAATTGCGTTGTATGCTCTATAACCTGTTAGTTCATATGCCTTGCCACTGTGATATATAGGCCTAAGGCCAAGACAATGAGAAGACACAGTGGCAGAATAAATTCAACCACACTTTGTTTCATCACAAAACCAGAGAGCAACATCTGTCTGGTGAAGTCCACAAAGCATATTGCTTGTAGCAAACAGTTACATGACCTATAGCATGGTCAAGCAAGTTAATGTTTCCAACATATTCGTACTACTAAACAACTATTGGTTTAGAACCACGGTAAGTTACCGCAAGTTGCAAAGAAAACAGGAGCTGCGTCCACTACTCCAGCACCATTTCAACATCATCAAATCACCTCTGCTTAGTCTAATACAGTGACAACTAAAAGATAGCAAAAACAATTTAGTCCAATCAACTTAAGCTAAATATGATGTGAATGTTCATGGTTCTGATTTCTGTGTGTGTGTGTGTGTGTGTGTTTGTGTGTGTGTGTGTGTGTGTGTGTGTGTGTGTGTGTGTGTGTGTGCGTGCGTGCACGTGCGCATGCGTGTTCGTGCAAGTAGAAAAAGATGTTGACTCACCCTACTTGTAGAGAAACGCCAATGCCATCCTCCTCTCTTTCATGTTGACGAAACGGTCTATGACTCTGTCATAGAGCAATACAGTACATGCTTTTATTTTTTGTTTTCCTACGCTACCTGGCTAAAATGCTTGCTCGCTAGCCTAACTTCTATTCATGAGCAATGATGAGCTAGCTAGTTAACATGAATTAGCCTTCTACATCTAGCTACATATTGAATTAGCCTTCTACATCTAGCTACTTCCATCCTCTCAGGCCAGGGCCACAATGTATGAATTTATTGTTGGATCAGAATCGCCGTTATAATCATTGGCCAGTACGGAGAATTAAGTAAAACCACATGTCCAAATCCATGTCTCCATCCATGGCTAATTTAGGAAAGGGCCAATTTTAGCTAGTTAGCTAGCCACCGTAGGACAACACAATGAGATGCAACGATTCAAGTTGTTTCTGTCAATGACGTTTGGCTCTCAATGTGATGTGATTGGAGTGAAGCCAAATCCAAATTGGCTTCCCTCAAAACGTATTTTTGGTGCACCAGGACCATTCACAGTTGAGCTCACTCAGTTTAGCTCAATGCTGATTGGCTATTATTTTATACTTTTCTTTATCAAGGGAGGCCAAATGTTTGCTGGCTTCCCTTGCATTCAATGCTACGGGCAGCAACAATGTCATACTCTTTTTGACTAGAGAGCATCAGATAGATGGCCTACACATACAGAGACAGAGGGGCGCTGTTTCGCTCTCTCGGATGCTTTCTCCGGTGAGATACATTTAACCTCTTGCGAATTGAAGAAAAATAATGAAACACAGAGCGACGAAATATAAATTATTACATTTGTGTTCTTTTTTTATTGGTCCATTTTGGGGGGAAGCTTCCCTTAGTATCCATGAATACATGCCACTGCAAATTACCTAATATTTACGGTAACACAGCAGTCAACAATCTATATTGCACCACTGATCCTTCACTCATTTGTGATTGCCTGTGTTCAGGCATTGTTGCACAATTCATAAAATGTCAGTTGGATTGAGTGTTGCTGATATAAGTTGAAAGACTCCAGGTTCTGACAGGGCATGTGTTGCATTGTGTTCCAGGCTATCCTCGTTACACAGTGATTGGGGACCACAGTACAGGGGAACACCACCTCCGGATCCAACGTGTGGAGCTGATGGATGACGCTGTCTTTGAGTGCCAGGCAATCCAGGCAGCCATGAGGTCCCGCCCTGCCCGACTCACTGTGCTGGGTAAGTGAGGATTACATTTACACACAAATGCACACCACACATACATGCATACAATAGACACATTTTGAAGAATGTTCACAGAGAAAATGGCAACGGAGGCAGTCCGTGACTTAGTAGCCAACTCAAACCAACCACAATGTCATATCTGTAGTGCTCCTCCCTTCCCTCAAAACTTTCAAAATCCACTAAATCTGTGCACTGAATCAATGATCATGTCACAAAAGCCACAGCTTTTTATAAGCATACAGCAACTATCAAGATAATGCTGCAGCAAATGGAAACAGTACAGCATCTCTAAACTTTGCCAGTCCCTAATGTTTTTACTTTCATTTCCTGCTACACACCCAGCCATCTTCAGTATTAAGCCTGAGAGGCTGCTGGTTCTTAATTAAACTTTATTGGGTTATCATTCAGCGTTGTCAGTTCTGCCTTATTGAGCAGCATTAGTAAAATCACTGCTCACTCTTCTCTATCTCCCTCTCTCTCTGCCCTCCACTCCGTATACCCTTCTGCTGTGGAGGATGATGGGTAATATGGGGGGGACCTGGAGTCAATGACAGAGCCAGAGAACAAGGGAGAGGGACTGAGGGGAGAGGAGGAGGGAGAGTGGGAGGTCCGAGAGTATCCTCGCCACGAGAGACTGATACGCCTTATTGATCTCCGCTAATGAAAAGTTAAACTAATGATCTGTAGGGGTGGAGGCAGCCAGAGAAAGGAGAGAGGGAAGACAAATTGAGGCCCAACTACTCTCACCCTTGCAAATGGATATGAATGAATAATTATAAGTTCTTTACTGAGAGTCAAAGGAGCTATACCCCGCTTCCCCTTCCTCCCCTCCACCCATTCAAAGTTAAGTTTATCTTCCTCCAACCCCGCCGTTCACAGCAGCTAAGTCGTTTGATCAAGGCCTCAAGGAGAGGAGAAGGGTATGAGACACTAATCATTTAGGATGCATTGCTATACCCTCTGTTTATTTGTGGTCTTTCTCAGTTGGATTTGATTAATTGACTCTTGATGGTAGTGTTGCTTGGGGGCTTGATCAACATTGAGTTTAACTAAAGCATCCTTTTCCTGCTCAGTACACTACTGCAACAGTTGATACACTACATGACCAAAAGTATGTGGACACTGAACTTGCTTCCATTCAGCCACAAGAGCATTAGTGAGGTCGGGCAATGATGTTGGGCGATTAGGCCTGGCTCGCAGTCGGTGTTCCAATTCATCCCAAAGGTGTTCGATGGGGTTGAGGCCAGGGCTCTGTGCAGGCCAGTCAAGTTCTTCCACACCGATCTCGACAAAACGGGGGTATTGTCATGCTGAAACAGGAAAGGGCCTTCCCCAAACTGTTGCCACAAAGCACAGAGTTGTCTAGAATGTAATTGTGTGTTGTAGCGTTAAGATTTCCCTCCACGGGAACTGAGGGGCCTAGCCGAACCATGAAAAACAGCTCCAGACCATTATTCCTCATCCACCAAACTTTACAGTTGGCACTGTGCATTCGGGCAGGTAGCGTTCTCCTGGCATCCGCCAAACCCAGATTCGTCCATCGGACTGCCAGATGGTGAAGCGTGATTCATCACTCCAGAGAACGCGTTTCCACTGCTCCAGAGTCCAATGGCGGCAAGCTTTACACCACTCCAGCCGACGCTTGGCATTGCGCATGGTGATCTTAAGCTTGTGTGTGGCTGCTTGGCAATGGAAACCCTTTTCATGAAGCTCCCGACTAACAGTTATTGTGCTGACGTTGCTTCCAGAGGCAGTTTGGACCTCGGTAGTGAGTGTTGCAACCAAGGACAGACAATCTTTACGCACTGCGCACTTCAGCACTCGGCGGTCCCGCTCTGTGAGCTTTTGTATATATACTGTACGTTTCTAACCCAGGCCTGTTGAGCTGCAGTCACATTCTCTAACAAAGTAAAGATCGCTACTTAGAGAAAAGGGCTTGTCTGTTCAAGTCCCATTAAAGTGATTAATCATCAATAAACGAGGGGAGCCATTTGTCTCTATTCCTCTTTGGCTATTTGAGGGTGAAACACTTATCATTCTTTCTCATAAGCCCCGCCAAAAGATGTGTTTAATCCCCTGCCTAGCTGGCTGACTTCTGAATATATTGCGAAGGAGGGCCCCCAGGCAGGCACACATGCAAGGTAATGGAATAAATATATGCAAGCCCCGTGTCACTAAAAACTCTAAGCTGTGAATTACCCGCCAGTGGTGACAGAGTGTGTCTATCGACTCGGAAGACAGTGACGGTCCGTCCACAGAGTGGAACAGTCTCCCTTCTCTCCTACCTGACTGTCAAATGAATCTAAAAACATTCCCCTTATCGCTCTCTCATCAGGCAATATCTGTCCCAGCTCTACTGTGTTCTATATCAAAGGGAACCGTTTTCTTTATGACTTTGTTATTTACAGATAAAAGACACAGATTTGGAGTGCTTTTTTGTCGCTCGATATTCTCCCTTAAGATTGGTACTGTGTCATTTTGTTCATTTATTACAGAAAGCCTTGAAATTCTAGTCTACAGGCAATTCCAAGACTGTTGAACTCCTACACCTAAATGATGTTCAAACACAAAATACCCAGCATGCCTCAATGGGGCAAAAACGCAAAATCCAATTTTGGGTGGCATTTTAAGCCAAGGATCTACAGTCCCTACTCCTGTTTTCACATTAGCAAAACAATTGTGGGTGAGTTTGGAGTATCTTGTTTGAGTAGCATTAGGAGTAAAACGTAAGTTTATCAAATAAATGCAGTGTCAGGGAAACCCCATAGAGGAATGAAAGGGTCGTCAATAAAGCAACCAGGCGTCAACTTCCCTCCTCAGAAATATTTCAAGAAAATATGTCCCCTTGGAAAAATGGTCTTTGAACTTTGAACCCCATATCTGAGTGCAGCCATGGGATCCAGGCTGCAACCATGGAGCCCTGGAGGCCAAGGGGGCTGAGGTCTGGTGAATTAGGCATGAAGGTCGAGAGTGATCTAGGGGTTGTGGTCCGGGGGTAGTCCAGAGGCTAATTATATCCCCTTCAGCAAGGTAGCAGGCATCCAAACCTATGCCTCAATGTGTTCACCTTGGTCTGGGGTAGGAATGAAGGGGGAGGCATGGGCTCTCTGGAATAAGGTATCTACCTTTAAACAGACCTGTGAGACCAGGTAATATTTTGTAAGAGAAATGTGCAACATTTACCATTTAGCGATGGAGAAAGAGTTATTGCTGCTGTTTTCATAGTAGGCCTACATTGAGTGATGAGGTCTGCTGTTGTCTCTACTGTGACATTTAGAGAGCTCATTGACATTCTTCTGCCGACAGGTCTTCTAATGAACCTTCAGTCCTCATCAATCGCTTATGTTTTATCTTTCCTTTGTTGTTCCTTCCTGTTCCTCACTAGGTCTTTCTCTTTAATGCAAGGCCATAACCCTCTCTGATTACAACATTTGATGCACTCCAAGATGAAAACCGATATTTAAGGGATGTAAAGTAATGCCATAAGGCCCTAATACATTCATAAGTATTCTCTGGGAATTTTATGTTTTGATATTGCCCATTAGGAAATATTTACTTTAAAGCAGATTAACTCAGAAGAAAATACGAGGGCCAGATCTGTCCTCAGTTTTTCATTTGCTGTCAAGATAATGATTAATTAGATTCACACTGCTAAGGGAAAATCAAGTTTCCTTAGCATGGAATTAATAACGGTAAGTAGCAGGTCTTAGAGCCAAAGTGTCCCAGCCACTCTTCTGCCCTTGTTTGTAACTTTAGAGAGCATCCAGAGGCACTCCGATTATTAACTTTCATTGCAAGAGTGCAAGATGTGAGATCTGACAAAACACATCCTTCCAAATGGCTGAACATTTGTCATTGGAGCAGCCAAAGATAAAGACGGGCAAACAGCCTTTGAGTTCTGACTTGCCTTTGATAATCTGTGATTTTCAGAGGCAGAAATCACATTTTCCAAGAAAACTTGTTGATTATTATTCTCTGGCTGGTCTAGCCTTGCACAGTGCCAGGGGTCATGGTGTGCCTTGCAGCACGACGTTGGAAGGGGATAATATAGTTATATCTAACTGTGCACAGATCGTTTGCTTCCCAGTGTCCTCTTTTTACTGCATGGAGCTCACCTCTAGTCTTATGTCTAGTTTTTCGTCCTGTGGTGAAATGATTGATTGTCTGTTCAACGTGACCCTTTGTTATTTTTACCTTCCACCTCATTCCTTTGTCCTCCAAAAAATAGACTTGTCCATTCAGGGGAGGGAGCCAGTGACTTACTTGACTTTAACACACCTTGGGGAGTGTAGGTCATCCACTAGATTTCTCCAATAGTGTTGGACCAAACAATGCTGCTCTGCACAGCAGGGTCTTTTTAGCATGACATCTGACTGACTAGTCTCTCTACTGAAGTGCATCTAATGTGAACTTTGAAAATCTTCAGTCATATGTTTATTCTATTACATTGCAATGTCATGTATTTTTTTTTTTTTTTTACTTAACTTTAAAACAGTGATAGAGAAAGGGGGAAAAAACTCAATCATTTAATGAAAAAGTGCCCTTCAACTGTAGTTGTTGAAGGTAAAACTGAATTTTGTCTCGCTAATGAAATCTCAACACTAAACCGAAGGGCAACTTCATGAGGAACATTGTGTTTTTATAACAAGACATAAACAAGAAGCAGTAATTGTCCCTAGGTCTCCTGTAGTTCAACCCACTGAATCCCACTTATGATTTACGGAATCATGCATTTTAAAATAGATGTAATGTATGAAAACGGAAAGGACACAAAGTAAATGCCTTATTGAAGAATCACAGGGGGAGAATGCAAGTTGATTGGCTTGCAGTAACAGTCACGACGGGAGCAGTATTTCAATCGGCACCACTTTTACCGTTACAACTAATTAATGGAACTGGTTTTATGCACTCCCCAGCTCTCTCTTTCTCCCTTTCTCTCTCTCTCTTGAAATAAAATGTTGAAACACCTCATTTTGCAGTTTAAGTGTGCTAGTGTTCTGTA